CATATGGGAGACAATTAAATAACTGCAGTTATGTCCAGGTTAGTGAGGAAACAGATCCCTTTATGAACTAGATTTATACCATGTGTCTGGTGCAAAGGCAGACACAGAGCCCAGGTTGGAAAGGAGCCACGCTGACTTCCCACTAAGTTTACAAGCTACCTGTTTACATATACCTTTGGATTTCACTGTCGTACAACCCCACCACCCTGCCCTGGCGCTACAGAGTCCTCCCCATTCCCTGTCTGGCATGGAGGTTGTTCTTTAACACAGGGTTATTTGGTCTTTAGGTTGATGGCTAAAGCCTGGATGTATAATGTACCATCCCAGGGTTTCCAAGCTCAGCTCTTCCCCTCAGACAAGCCCAGCCCAGACAAGCCAGCTCCAATTCTCCCACGGAAGGTGGGCGCATTCAGCATTCAGGAATGACAGTGAGCTAAATAAATCCCACTCCTGACAGCAAGCAAACCAAAGGCAATCAATTCTGGGCTGCATCCCCAGCAGCATGACCAACAGGTCAAAGGAGGTGATCCTGCCCCTTTATTCTGCTCTCGTGACACCTCACTTGGAGTATTGTGTGCAGTTCTGGTGTCCTCAACATAAAAAGGACATGGAACTGTTGGAACAAGTCCAGAGAAGGGCCACGAGGATGAACAGATGACTGGAGCACCTCCTGTATGAAGATAGGCTGAGAAAGTTGGGGCTGTTCAGCCTGGAGAAGAGAAGGGTGCGTGGAGACCTCATAGCAGCCTTCCAGTATCTGAAGGGGGCATATAGGGATGCTGGGGAGGGACTCTTCAATAGGGACTGTAGTGATAGAAGAAGGAGCAATGAGTTAAAACTTAAACAGGGAAAGTTCAGGTGAGACAGAAGGAAGAGGTTCTTTCCTGTGAGGATGGTGAGGCCCTGGCACAGGTTGCCCAAAGAAGCTGTGGCTGCCCCATCCCTGGCAGTGTTCAAGGCCAGGTTGGATGAGGCTTGGAGCAACCTGGTCAAGTGGAAGGTGTCTCTGCCTGTGGCAGGGAGTTTGGACTGGGTGAGCTTTGAAGTTCCTTTCAACCCAAACCAGTCTGGGATTCTGCGAATCAGCTTGGGGTTAAAGTTTGTCCTGCTATGGAAAATGCAAGCCACTGGGAAATGGCATCAGGTTGCAGTGGAATCGCTGTGGGGATGGGCTGGGATGCACCTACCAGTTAAGAACCAGCCTGAAAGAGACCAGCCCAACCCCATGTCCTCCTCTCAGCCAGCTTGTACCAAGGCCATGGGAGGCAGAACAGCTGGGGAAAGACAGAGGCAGTAATGGAAGAATCAGCCTTGCACGATTCCATGGTTCCTTCCAGCAATCCCAGGGGCAGAGCACTGCCTATTTTTAGCTCCCAGGGTAGCTGAAATACCACCGTGATATTCATTAACGACAGTCCTGCTGGATGGGAGCTGCAAGGCCGGGCTGGGGGGCTGTTTGGTCTGGTTTGTTTTGCTTTATTTAATTGCTGTCTTGAATACAGAGTCAGAGCGTGGCAGGAGGCTCGGCTCCTCTCACCTCAGGAAAAGCAGGAGCACCAGACTCAGGGGAGGTGGGAAGCGAAAGTCAATCAGGCAGTATTTAAAAATCTACCTGCTGAGCCCGGGGGGGGGGGTGGTGGAGATTTTAATGTCATTCCCAGCTTGAGATGCAGCCTGGAGAGTGAAAAAAGAAAGGGAGATCTTCTGTTCTTGAATCCTTAATTGCTCGTTAAATCATCTCACAAGCGCCTGAACTCCTGGATGGCTCCATGCTCCTTGACAGAGGGGCTTCATCCTTGGCAGGGAGGGGGAGTGCTTTCAGAAATACCTCACCTTCTTTTCCTGGGTCTTTAAAACTGAGAGTTCAATGGTTCAGTCTGCAAAATGAAACTTCAGACTGAAATATTTTTATTGCCATTCAGCAGTAGCAATAAACTTCCCTGTGAGCCATTCCCATGCTCCAGCCTACCCTGCAGACAGCTGCCTGCACTGCAGGAGGGCAGCTCTGCCATCCCCAGAAGGGATCTCCAGTGACTGCACAGGAGCATGTGCCAAAATAACCCCCTCTCCTTCAGCCCCACTTCTGGCCCAAGCAGACCTGGTAACCACAGCCAGAGGTGCTTGTCCCTGGTCACTCCTGTTCTGCCCTGTCACTGCTGTTCATCCATTTCTGCTCAAACCCTCTTGCTTCGGATTTTAAATCGTGACTCTGCCACGAGTCTCAGTAGTGGAAATGGTGAGGCAGCTACTTCCCAGCACAGAAATGAGATGCCCATGCTGTTCCTTCTGATGCTTCGCAGAAAGCAGCCTGCAGTTAAATCTGCAAAGCTCAGAAAAAGCCCACGCCCTGCCTGTAACAGCTGGAGAGATTTGGACATGCTTTGTGATCACAGGCAGGTGGACGGATCTGTGACTTACACATATAAATCATCTCCCCAGCAGTCAAGATAACATAAGAAAGACCTCCTCCCTACCTAGCTGAAGGCATGGATGCTTTTGTGCACCACCCATGCACAAGAAACAGGGTCATGCCAGAGCACAGTCCCAAGCGGACTGGCCATTAGCAGGTCATGTGTTATGTAGAGTCTGTGAAAAGAACAGAATATCAGCTCCAGCAGAACAGGCAAACTGTACTGATGATTTATGAATATTCACTGAGCTCACAAAGCACTCCAGGGCAGAAAACAAGCTTTTGAAATTAACTGAACTCCTCAAGGTTCTTCGTTTGTCTTGCCTTTGAGGTGTGAGTCATCAACATTACTTCTCCAGAGCAAGCAGAGTCTGTACAGAGGGCTGGGAGGAATCCTGGGCACCAGAAGTTAAGTATTCTGCAAAAAAGACTTTATGAACATGAAGTCTTCAAAACATAGAGACTCCACCCCATTAAATTTTATGGAATGGTGTCTCCATACAGTACGGACTTCTTCAGCCCATAAAGATGTTTAGGGGACTTGAAGCTCTTTCTCTGAGCACTGAAGTTTCCACCAGCTTCAGTCTCCACTAATTTGGTGCTCTGTAACTTTTCAATAATTTCAATATTCAATAACAAAAGGCTGCAGAGGAGTTTTGCTCCTCTCCACGCAGGCCATGCCATACACCTCATTGTTCCCACCAAAGCAATTAGATTAATGTGGTGCTGTCCAACACTGCTGCTCCTCTACTTTTAATTGCACCCATGAGCTAAGAAATAATCTGCTTGCTTTGCCTGTAACGCCTTGTCTCCAGTGCTCTAGCAGTACGCAGGGAGAACAACCCATTCATCAGTTGGGTTGTTCCCATCATAGCTGCTAACTGAGCAATGGCTAGGAGCAGCAGCAGCACCTGGCATTGCAGAGGAACAGGACAGAGCCTGTTGTAGCCAGGAAGGTTGTAGGAGCTGCTCCCTAGCAGGCAGTGCATGGGCTCCCCAGGAGCTGCATGCTCATCTGTGGGTGTCTTTTGCTGTAATGAAGAGGGGTTGTCTGTCCATGGGACAGTGGCAGCAAATCATGGGGACTGCCCACTCTCCCCTTTGTGAGAAGGCTTACACCTATATTTGTCCAAGAATAGGTTCTATCTCAGACAAGAGAAAAGGTAATAAAACAGGGTGGTTGTCTTCACTGCTTTCCTGTAAGCACACATGAGGAATCTCAGAATGGTTTGGGTTGGAGGGGATCTGAAAGCTCATCCAGTTCCAACCCCCTGCCACAGGCAGGAACACCTTCCACAAGAGTAGCTTGCTCCAAGCCCTGTCCAACCTGGCCTTGAACACTGCCAGGGATGGGGCAGCCATGGCTTCTCTGGGAAATGTGTGCGAGGGCCTCAGCACCCTCACAGGGAAGAACTTCTGCCTAAGAGCTCATCTCAATTTCTCCTCTGTTAGTTTAAAACCATTCCTTCTTGTCCTGTCTCTACAGGCCCTTGTCAGAAGCCCTTCTGCAGACTTCTAGTAAGCCCCCTTTAGGTATTACTCTAAGGTCTCCCCTGAGCCTTCTTTTCTCCAGGCTGAACAAATCAGAACAAATAAGAGCTCCACTTTTTCCATTAATTACAGCAGTAACAATTGAGTTTTTTTCAGCTGGTAGATATATGAGACTACCCCAACATATCCAAAGTCATGAAGGAAAAACTGCAGATTATTCAACATCCCTGGGGCTCCTGGAGCCTGGGGGGGTGTGGAATGTGAGAGATCCACTTACCACAAAGCAGGCAGAGGGGAACAAGAATTTGGGTGTCCTGCTTTGCAGACAAGAGAAGCATCAGCCACTGGGACTATTACAGTAGGGATGAACTCAATGTTCCAAGTCTGTCTAGACGTTCCCATCCTAAATCTGAGACATCTTCCAGACCTGAGTTGTATTAGGGAAAAGCTGCCATTCCAGCAACTGACATACTTCTACCCAAAAAGATTCCATCTGCAAGCAGTCAGCTGGCCCAGCCCTCACTGCCATACTCCTTAACCATGGGAGATTCCTCTCCCTGTGAGTCATAAAGCAAGACAGCCAGCCAAGGTGTTCAGTATTACCATGAATTAGCCCCTGTGGCAGGGGCTTAGAGCAAAGAACAAGAATTCAGGAAAAGCAATAAACCAGCATCTGAAATAATTGTTTCTGGAGCATTTCTGATGTGCTTTGTGATACAAATGGCCCCTACTTCAGCAAAGTTAAACCAGGCATTGCTGCACAATATGCATCCCTTTGCTAGCAATTTAAAATGTCCTTGTACATACATGACTTCCTTTCTGTTCCCAAAAAATTCCACACATCCACAGTGCCAACTGGTTTGGCTGCTGAATAGAAGTATTTGTTGATATGAGGTGGATTGCACAAATAATCTCTTTTCTTGTGGCTTTCTTGTTCCATCCTCCTTTTTAGCCTTCTGCTAGATCATATGGTATGGATCCTAAAGGCTGCAAAATGCAGGCTCTTTACTCCTCATGGTTTCATGAACTGTTTCTGAAATCTCTAGCTCCTAAATCTCCCTTAAGCATCTATGTGACCTCTCTTTTCCTTTCTCTGCAGGCTGATGCCAAGATGGTCTGTGACGTTGTAAGCCGGATGGAGGACACAGAGCCCTTCTCTCCGGAGCTGCTGTCAGCTATGATGAGACTCTGGGCAGACTCTGGGATCCAAGAATGCTTCAACCGGTCCCGAGAATATCAACTTAATGACTCGGCCCAATAGTGAGTATCCTTGTCCATAGTCTTTGACATTGAAATTGTAACTAAAGTTAATGACCTCATAGCAGTGGGTCTGAACGTGATTCTGCTTACAGCCTGGACGTGTGTTGTGTCACAGGCTGCTGCAAGTCAGAAAGGATCAGGCAGGACATTCAAGTCCCCTGTGGCCAACCTGGGATCAGCTCTGTGACCTGAAGATGAGGTTCCCAAACTACTCCCAAACAGCTAAAAGTAGGGTTCTGTAAACACAGATGTAGTGAGCAGAGACAAACCAACTTGTGGACGTGGCTGGTGGCTTCTTCATTTGTCTGATACATAACAGAAGGGTATGATTACCTGCTGTGTATAGCAGTACATCTCTTGGGTTTGCTTTTCTAATAGTCATACACTGTACTGGTAGGCAACTGGATTACCACCACGGGTAAAAGATGTCTTTGCTTTTACAGTGTCATAATGTTCTCATAATACAGTCAATGGTGTCTCTACCATTAGGTATTTTCTAATGTTGATTGTCTGAACCCGTGACTTTGGTTCATCCCATCATAAGGACAGAACATCTACTTATAAACGGCTGCTCTGGCTCTGAAGAAATGTGAGTGCCTCCCCAGTTTCAGTTCAGAACCATTTCTAATGGTAATTCATCCAGCCTGTTTGCCTCCACCTAGGCAAGGAGGCTAAAGCCTTTCATTCCATAATTTTAACTACAGCAGCTGTAGTAGTCAGGCAAAACGTCGCAAGGCCCTGTACTGTGTCTTGGCAGTAGTCACATAGCTAGGTGTGAGCATAAGGAACAAGCAAGCACAGAGAGATCTTATCCCCATTTATACCTTGGACCTTTTTGGCAGTCAGGGAAATAGAGGCTTCCCCGGATGGTGACAGGGGAGTGCTACATCCATGCTTTTGGCTTTCACATTACCCCATGTCAACAAGTTCACCAGCTGACTCACACACTTTGGGAGTTGTTATTGTGTGTTTCGATTGTCTGGCTTCGCTGTTCAGGGTTTTCCTGGATATCTGTCAAAACATGAACCCAAGCACCGGTGTGGCTGATGGTTTTATTCTGTGTGGTGGGCCTGATCATCCCCAGTCTGCACGAGCTTCTCCTGTCAAAGCTGGCAGGGCAGCTGGGGAGTACAGGATTGTTTCTGCTCTTGTGGTGCTGCAGGAGAAGGCGGGTGATGACACATCTCTTGGCACTGACCAAAAACCAAATGGGAAACCTGCAGATATGTAGTTGGTGTCACAGCATCCCACCCAGCCGTTTCTCATCAAAAGCATCTACATCTCAGTGCTGATCCTAACATTATGCTGCCTTTTAATCATTAGTAAGTGGACGTTCGTGTTTTATCTGTATTTCATTGCCTGTAATAGCAAACTTATCCTTATCTTGCCAGCAATTATTTTTTTTCTTCACAGAAGAAGGGTTTGAGGGCATAAACATACCTTTAGAGATATAAATTACATAAAATGCCAGTCCTAATTGCATTACAACCTTGTGGAAAGTTCTTCAATTGTTTTAGAACCAATTACTTTGAGGAAAGTGTTTTGATTTTCCTTCCATGTGAGATAGCAGTTGAAGATAATAAGCAGCGCCCTCCCAGAGTGACCAGCTGCTGGGCAATTCATCAACCAGAGTTCTGAAACCACAAGCAGTTTCTAGACATCAACCAAGGAGGCTCTGTGCTGTGGTATTTTAAGCAATATCAGTGTGCTGTTGTAGCCCAGCTTAAGAAATCCTCCTTGCAAGGGGAGGGCTGTACTGCCTCTCCTTCATTACGCTCTGAGTCATGCTGTTGCTGGACACCCTTTTTCTCTAGGCTAGGTCAGATGGTGAAGCTGAAGATAACAAGTTCCTTCACGTTTGGGCACCTGCTGCCATTTAGGTGCCTCTTGTGGTTCTGTGCCCAGAAGCAGAGATGCTGTCCCATGGCAGGGCAGTGTAATGTGTCCTGCTGCACCTCGAGGCCTTGGTGCCATCACACCAGATGGTGATGCAAGTGAGAACTCAGTTAGCATTTATTCACACCCAGTGGACTCCAGTGAAAAGAGGCATATTTTTCATTTAATCCTTCAGTGCTTTGAGGTTGTTTTTCTTCTGCATGACTGAAAGATTTGGGACATTTTTCTGTGTTTCCCCCTTCACCCCTGCTGCCACTTCCCCCTACCCCGGGAAAGGGCTTATCTTTATTGACACTGATAAGTGATTTAAAACACTAGCAGCTACAAAATGTGTCTTCAGTTGGGGCTGAATTTAGGAAGCTGAATCTGAAGTTCCTCAAAATTTGAAAAACTGGAATAGCATCATTCTTACTTCAGGCTTCCCTTCTTGGTAAGCCGTAGGGTTTGGTGTTTTGCTGGCAGGAGGGAAGCTTGCTGCAGGAGACGGATATTGCACTCCAGGGCTGCTCAATACATGTCACAAAGCCCAGAGGCACCAAGTGACCATGTCCTGTCATTGCCAGCATAGGTGAGACCTTCAGGAGTGGTTCAGGCACTTCCCTTCACCCCAGAAACCACATACCGACTGCTTTTCAGAACCCACTCCACTGCCTGGCTATTTCTAAGGAACCACCATTCGGGCTTCTCCAAGCCAGCGCTGCTGCTGTTCCACATTGCTCTTTCAGTGCTTTACCTTGAGGTTTTATTAATGGCTCAAATAACAGGCCTGTTACAGCCCCTGGGAGACCAAGTCACAGGGTAATCAACAGCCTGCCAGAGCTAGCAGCACAGCTCATACTAGTCTAGCACTGATTTCACTGACAATAGATGCAATATTTTGTATTAGCCTAAACAGGAAGTGAGTACTGGCCCTTCTGTAAAAGATGGGCAGGAGTGCATTGCTTTCTACTCTCCCATGCACACCTGCCTACTGATGTGGACTTCCTTGCAAAGCTTTGCTTCTTTTAGGCTTAAAAGTCATCCTGTCCTTAGCAAGGATTTCATAGCTACTGCAAAGAAACAGCAGAAAACAGCACTTTTGCAAAGAAAAAACATGGCTGAGGAAGATGGGAGGTTTTGTAATGGGCCTTCTGTGTCTTGGACTGCAAAAAAGTAAAACCATAAGAACAGAAAGAGAAGGGTGAGAGTAAGACAGAGCAGTTGGTTTCATCTTTTTTCATTACTGCATTTTTTCATCATTCCCTAAGGCAAATTTATGGGTGGGTTGAGTTCCACATTCCTAATCTCTTGATTATGTTTTTATTCCTACTTCGTCTCCTCTTTCTTGTCTCCATGCCTAGGAGCTAAATCTACCTCTGATCATCAAAGACTCTGGGCACTGCTGATGTCTTTTTCTTCTTTAGCCAGTTTTTGTCTGTGGAAGCACATCTGTGACCCACATTTTGCTTTCAAAATGAGCAAAATAGAGGTTTCCAGCTGGTTTCCTTAATCTCCTGCTTTTGTTCAGATTTTAAAATTGTTTTGTACTTCCTAGCCTGGAGTTCCTAACTAGCTTGGTCAGTGAAGCATAATGCATAGGGCAAATTTGAGATTAACCACGCTTTGAGAAGCCTCTAAACTTCAGGAAGGAGAGGAATGGAGCAGACACAGCATCCACACAAACATTAGTTTTCCATGTGCATATCCAAACAGGAGCAGGCCCTGTAAGATGTGTAGGCAGGGATCGTTTGCAAGTACACAGATACAAAAAAGCCAGACTCCATCTCAAGTTATTCTCCTGCTTCCAAGTACACTGAAAGATCATTTGATAATACTAGGGCTGTGAAACTACCGTGAAAATGTAAAATATTTTTAGGCCTGCATTCAACCCATCCATCTTCACACATATCAGAGGTGTCAGGGCTAGGAAGCTTGTTGTCTTTGGCTCTCTCCGTAGGGAGTGAAGAGAGGGAGAGATGCCTCTGGAGAGGGATACAAACTCACTGCTGAAGAAAAAGAGATGCAATTGCATCTGCTGCTTTACCATAGCTAATTGCAGGCCTAACATCTCAAGTCTGTGCCAAATACCAAGCCCAAACAGGACAACACTTTGGTCACTCCATCTTCCAGAACGGTTCTGCCAGTGCCTTATAGAAAAGCAGCACCAAACACAGAATAAAATACCTTAGTGCCTTCCTTATCACCCTGTCTTGTGTAGGACTGTTTTCAGATCTCTTCCTTGCAAAAGAATTGTTTTTTCATAATGGCGTCACTTTTCTACTGTTACTTATTGCATCCCACATGCCAACAACACACTTTGCATCAAGAAAGCAGTTAGGGAAGTAGAGCCAGATGCTGTTGTGATGTGGTGAGTAGCTTCCAAAGTGAGCCCTGACAAGGCAGCATTGGAACACAGTGCCCATCTCTGTCCTTGGAAACACTCCACACTGAGCCCCCTGAGCTAACTTACAAACTGAATTTAACTTTGAAACTGGCCCTGCTTTGAACAGGGGATTGGCCCAGAGGTCCAATCCAGTCACTTTTGAGTTTGTCTTTGCTTTTTTTCCCCTTGCTTTCTCTCATGACACTATGTTTAAAAGAGAGGTCTTCAGCGTTGGCTGCAGTCCCTGTTCCTAGCCATGCAGGACCATGCAGCTTTATGATAATAGACCACGAAACTTGCAGGACATGGGCATTATGCGTGACTGGCAGGACATGGTCCATTTTAATGAGCTGCAATTGTTGCTAGCTCTCTCAGACTGAAGAAAGAAAAATTATAGGTCAAGGTTTTGCATTAATATTACTATCAGGTACATAGATTCCATTTTCTTATCACAGCTTCTGCATTAGAATATGGTTTTCTGCGTGCCTGTCCTACTTGTGCCTGTCACTTGCACTCCCTTGCATTTAATTGGAGGGAATAGCAGCAGAAATGGAACAATCCAATTAATTGGGATAACTTGCATTGTGCTGTTTATTGAAAAGCACGCCTTTGTGTTTTGGAGCCCAATTGCCAATAAAGCAGAAGGGGAAAGTGCATCAATAGATACGTTGTAGATACATTTGTCTGAATTTATGGTTTAACTTACCCCTGTAAGTAAATATGCCCATCAGCTTTGAATAAT